TTTCTAATGTCCATAACTTGACAACGATAAATTTAAGTTTATGATAGCTATTGAATCAATAAAACAAATACAATTACTACTTACTTTTTTCACAATACCAATGATAGAGAATTTCAAGAGGATGAAATTCAAGATTTGAGTTAGATCCAATTAAATGAAGACTTACATAACTTCCTTATTCTGGGGTCCTTGCTGGTGATTTTAATGAAACTGATGCATACAGGCGAATGATACATAAACTCAAAAATGATTCAGACATATTTATGAAAACATAGAAATAATATGCTGTTACATATTAGAATTTTGTTTGCTTGGCTTTGTTTTTATAAGAAGATGGATACTTAAATGAACCAATAGCCTCTTTGAATTTATGAATCTCTTTTCAACTTTCCTTTTAGCCCTTAGTCATTTCTAGCTAATCAGGATTACTCATGATGCATTATAGTGTTTAAATTGGATTAAATTACTCTTTGCTAAATAATCTTTTCCAAATTCATATACCCCACTTATTAATGATACTTAATTTTTGTTACCCTTGAGATAAACCATTAGTAATGTTCTTGGCATCTAATCCAAATTCAGTCCACATAGGCTAGCATATGATTCATTTAGTCTGTTTGGTCAATCAAACTGCCACATCTAGGTCACATAATTATATTTGAAATAACTAATATGTTCCCTCATTGGGTCTCAATTCATCAAAAAAATGGCAAAAAGGGATTACATATAAATTAACCTGAATCTTGTTGACAATGAATTCACTAAAATGTAAGTTTATTAACATACAAAGTTATGATTTTTTTTCTAGAATACTGTCTTTACCTATTTCTAAGCACCCTCTATTTTGCTTGAAATAGAAACTGAATCATATATTTGGCATCTCTCAATCAGATAAACTAAATATCTGGGAAAACTTGACACCAATGATTGACTGGAGATTTTCAGATATAGTCATATGGCATGGGAGCAAGTTATATGTAGAGATATCCGACAATGACTTCACTGATTTAGTCTATATAGAATAAAGAAGGATGAGAGGTAGAACTCTACTTCTAGCTAATCAGCATTACTCACAGCCTAGGTTGTGCAAAATTGGGTGGACTGGAGGAGAGTGGATTCAAGAACTTGGATCCATTAAATTCTCTACATATTTTCAATTAAAATGGATCATTTTTTCAGAGCTTTTGTCTCTGTTTCCTTGTTAATCATCACATGATACTTTCTTTTTTTTTTCCTTTCCAAGTTTCTTTCTTCCTTTTTTGGAGTTTGCAAAGACAAGACTTCTTCATTGAGAACAGGTCTAGGATGAAAAAAACTGGCAGTTGGTCACTTATGCCCAGCAGCCCAGGAGAAAGCCAGTGATTTCCATTCTGGAGATGGCAGAGCAGGTGGAGTGCTGTTTTTTGGGGCAGCACAGCCTGGCGCCCCACCTCACTCCGCCAGGGCCAAGTCTGTGGACTGCAGCCGTTCTATCTCCTGGACAATGTTCTGTTCCACCATGTCACACTCGGCCAGGAACTCCTGAACCTTTGTCACCAAGCCTTTCCTTTTCAAGCAACTCTCTTTGAAATCTTCTGGCAGAATCAACATGTCAATCTCCTCTAAGATCGTCATAAAATTCTCGATGGTTGCCTTCACTCTCCTATCCAGTTTGCAGAGTGCAAATCCTTGGCCAGAAATCCCTGCTGGATTCCAGCAAAATATTTACTCAACTTTCCCAGTTGGCCAGCTATATTCTCTACAGCTTTCTCCAAAGCTTTCAACTTCTTTAATTCAGCTTCTTCCTCTGGACTGTTCCTTTCTCCAACTACCATGACCTAGAAACCATTTTGTATCCCAAGTGCTGGCAAAGCGTGTTCCACTTCTTTCAGAGTTTCCCTGGAATATGAATTTCTAACATGGCCGCAGAACCCCTGTAGCCTCTTCAACAACCTGGGCCAGGTCTTGAACAATGGGCTCTTGGGCAGCTGCTGTGTGGTTATATGAAGGTCATACTTCTCATTGCTGTGGGTGACAGTCAGGTTGAGCCCGGTCAGGTTGAGATGTTTTTCAAATTGTTTATGAAGATCATGAGTAAAAGTATATATATGAAAAAAGGAATCTGCCATCATGTTGAGTCTGGTCTCAGAAGATTTTGTACGGGGTTTCCAAGAGCATTCTGTCTCTATAGGAGCAAAATCTCTCATTTTTCTCCCTCAAAGCAGCTGGTAGGTTTGAACTACTGACTTCCAGTTAGTAGCACAATGCCTAGCTCACAACACTATTAGGACTCCTGAATATACGAGAGGTTATTGCCATCCTCCCCACCCCGCCAAAAATACCAGAAAAAAGCTCTGTTGGGTGGAGTTTTTGAAGTCTTCATTTTTCCTGCTAGGTGAGCATCCAGTAACTAACTCTGAGTTTGTGCACTCAGTGGCATTGCTTGGGAAGGTTCTCTGGTCACAGTGAATCTTTTTAGAAAATCAGTTTCATTTGAATCTCATTTTTTTTTGGTGATGACTGATGTAAGAGAACGTAACAGGCATGTGCCTGTGAAATTTTGTTTCCTGCTGAGGAAAAATGTCGCAGAAACTGTTGTGATGTTGAACACAGCTTACAAGAACAGCGCTATGGGGGAAAATCTCATTTCAAAAAAGGTGAAAGGTTGATTGATGACAAACCTCGTTCTGGACATCAGTCAATTTCCCAAACAGAAGAAAATGTTCACAAAATCCATGTATTTGTGCTGGAAAACCAATGACAGGCCATTGAAGAGATGGGGACGTTATCTAGATGATCTTGGAGCTCAGTTCTGGGAATTTTAATGGAAGATTTGGGAAATTTGTGCCTTGGGTTCTGACTGACCAAGAAAAAGATCATTGACTGGAAACATGTCATGCTTTCAAAGAACAGCTCTGAAGCAACCCAGACTTTTTCCCCAAGGTCACTACTGTTGACCAGACATGTTGTGTTCTTATCATCCTGAAAGCAAACATCAATCAAGCCAGTGGAAGATGCCATCGTCACCTCACTCCCCCAAAAGTGAAATCAATGATGATGAAGATGCTCCTTTGTGTCTTGGATGTGAGGGAGATAGTGCCTTTGGAGTTCTTTCCACCAGGTTAGGATGTTAATCATGCTTTTTATTTAGAGGTTCTGAAAAGATTGCATAACAGCGTGTGACAAAAAAGGCCTCATTTGTGGCAGATTGGGGACTGGTTTTGCCACCACGACAATGTACCTGCTCACAGAGCCATCTCAGTGCACCAGGTTTGGGCAAAAAAAGAAAAGCATGCCTCTCTTGCCCCATGCACCTACTCCACTGACATCACTCTGCGCAACTTCTTTTTGTTTCCATGAATGAAAAGAGACATGAAAGGACAGCAATTTGAAGACATAGAAGAGGTGAAGAAAAAAACGAGGGAGGTGCTGTGAGCCATGTAAACAGAGGAGCTTGACAAATGTTTCCAAGAATGGAATCGCAGACTTGAGAAATATACTAATTGTAATGGAGAGTACTTTGAAAGCGATGTTTGCTTTGTAAAAAATAAAAATAAAAACATAGCTTTGGGGAAAAAAAGAATCTGTTTGGGGAGGGGGGTCCTCCCTCATATAGAAGTATACTACAAAGCTCTTGCCATCAAGTTGATCTCAGGCTTAGTGACCCCATCAGAAAAAGTAGAACTGCCATAGGGTTTCTAAGTCTGTGATTGTTATGGGAGCAAAGGACCTCATCTTTCTTCTGCAGAATATGTGGTGGTTTCAAACTGCTGACCTTGAGGTTGGGAGCCCAGTGCATAACCCATTACGTCATGAGGTATCCTTGAATATAAAGGATTAATTAAAAAACAAAAACTTTGTTTTAATAAAAAATTTAAAAAAAACTTTAATAATGTCACTTGATTTTCAGACTCCACTCATTCAATCCATCACTCACTCACTCACTCCCTGCCATTAGGTTCATACCAACTCATAATGCTCCGATAGGACAGGGTAGAACTGCCCTCTATGAGTTTCCAAGACTATTTTTACAGCAGTCGAAAACCTGAAAGATGGGGCTTTTCTACTGCTGTACAAAAAAAGCCTTGTGTGGTCAATTATGCATTGGATTGCAAACCCTAAGGTCAGCAGTTCAAAATTACCAGCTCCTCCAAGGGACAAAACGAGGCTGTCTTTTCCTGTAAACAGTTACAGTCTCAGAAACCCACCAGAGCAGTTCTAGTCTGTCCTATAGGGTCACTATGAGTTAGAATTGAGAGTGAGTTTATCTGAGCCTACGCCAAATATGTTTGGCTAATATTATTGATAAAAAGGGTGGTAAAAATAGTGTTAGGGTAAATTCTTGTATTATAGGTTCCTCATGTAAACTGAGGTAGCAAAATATACTGGAGCAAAAAGAATGTAGCTATCTCACACCGCATATTACAGCAAGGGTACAATCTAGAGTTTTATGAAGATTACAAAGTGAGAAAATTGGACTGTGTACTCAGTAAGGCATGCGTTAGGTGCTTTCTATTCACTATCACTTCTAAACCTTTACAAAACCATGTGTGTGTATGTGTTTGTGTGTATATATATATATAGATAGATAGATAGATAGATAGATAGATAGATAGATAGATAGATGGTGATTCATAGGGAACATATATATATATATACATACACACATATCTATTGCGTTTTCCTCATGATACAACTGAAGAAACAGACACTCTTAAAATATTAAATATCCATACAAGTCTCCAAGAATGAAAATGCTGCTTTTGAACTCAGGTTCATGAAGGGTCTAAGAGCCTATAAACAAAACACTCTTGTGCTTTCATCTACACCCCCCTTGGGGATTCTAGAATGAACATGCCAATTTATTTTGATTGTTACTGTATTTCAACAATTATTCATATTTAAGATGCACTATTCAAACAAAAATAAGAAATATAATTATATGGTGACAAGAAAGAGATGGTGACTAAGCAAAGAAATATGCTTTCATTATATGAAACTTGGTGTGGATGTATACTTACGGGACTTTTTGGTGGTGACATTCACAGGAGCACTTGAGGGTCCTGTCCCGGCAGTATTGTAAGCCCTCACAGAAGTAAAGTAGACAGTATTTGCTTTCAGTCCTGTGATGGTTTTGGTAGTGACATTTCCACGGACCCTCACCTTACCAATCAAGGAATCTTTGGAGTCATCTGTCCAGTATAAGATCTGTTCATTAAGAGTAAAGAACAAACAAGTATGTTCCCCAACACATATTAAAAGAAACAGATCATGAGAGGAAGAATATTTTCTAAATGAAACTGATAAACAACAACAAAATAACCAGTCTAATATATGTAAAGAGAAAGGAAAATACAATAAGTAAATACAAATTCACAATGGTATTTAAAGAGCTGGCATTTTAAATTACCAAAATAAACTAATTCATGAAGTATCTAAAGATTCTCACCTTAAACAAAGAATATAAGCCAGACAAAAACAAGATTCACATCATTAATCAAATCCTTCATTAGAAAGCTTTGTTATTGACTTTTCTTCCAGAGATCTTTGAATCACAGGTTAATTAATCATTTGATTTACACTGATATCTTCCAACGTGTTAGCATTGCTTGTGGGCACAGTGAAGAAAACAAAATAAAGTTTGATGCTTGCCTTTGAGCTCTAGTTAAGAAGTAAGAATATTTTGTGAAATTTTAAAACAAATAAATAAAACAAGATATTTTCAAAAAATGAAGAAAAATGCTGTGAGTTTGAAAAAAAGACAATGGAGAGTGAGCAGAAAAAAGAGTTTAAAGAAGAGGGAAGAATAAAATCTGATGTTAAAAATAAATGCGTCAAATGAGGGGCAAGGTGTTTCAAGACTGCAGTGGCAGAGTTATGTAACATTGAACTTTCTGCTTGGACCAAAAGGCTCTTATTGAAAAAAAATTTTTTTAAAGGAAAGTGCACATCAACGTCAGAGAGGTTTAGAATCATACTGTTTTGTACCTCAAAAATAAAAAGAACCACTTTGTCTATTTTATGAATCATTAAATTGTCAAGTTCTAAAAGCAATGAGAGATTTATAATTTTCACCCTATAACTTTCTGAGGAGGAAGGCTCACAATTATGATGTGTGCTGCTTCACTTTATAGAGGCTATGAAAAATAGGATTTGACAACCTACATTTATTGATTGATTGTTTTTCATTATCACTTAAGTAGACTTTAATTTTTTTCAAAATGATGGTGTCTTTTCAAATACATCGCTAATTTTCAATACAATTTTCCTGTGAAATTTGACTAGAGTTTAAGATCATTGAAGATTATGTAGACACATTCTCATTTCCCAAAATACCTAGGGTTAGAAAATTTAAAAAGTGAGAGTACACTAAGCATATATAAAGATTAAAGAACTGAAGAGATTCAAGCATCTAGTTTCAATGTTGAAGAATTCTATGGGCAAATTATTGAAAAAATATGGGAAGCATATAAATAATATGGAAGGATACACAGTGCCACTATACCAAAAAGAAATAGTATACATTCAACTATTTCAAGAGGTAGTATATGATCAAGAATGAACAATACTGAAAGAAGAAATCCAAGTCAAACTGAAGGCATTACAAAAATCAGGGCCACGGACATAGGTTAAATGCCAATGGAAATATTTTAACCAGCTGATGAAGAACAGAAACCACTCACTGGCTTATGCCAAGAAATCTAGAAGGTATCTACCTGGGCATATTTAAATTACTTTTATTTGTTAATTTGCTCAGTCAATTGGTAAGAACCTCTTCTTTTTAATCTATGCTAAGAACCAGGTAGAACTGAACCAGAACTACTGTGCAGTCTCTGCACAGTGAGGATAAGTGAATTAAATGTGAATTACCTCATAGCCCAGCACACGTCCTGTGTTTCTATCCCAGTCAATAGCATTCCAGGAAACCTCCATTTCAGAAGCAGAAACACTCTGGACAGAAGTTCTTCTTGGGGCTAGTTGAGGTTCTAACATCAAAAGAAATGCGTGACCATCTTTAGCTTTGTGACCTATGCAAAAGTGAATCTGCCATATGCACACTGTCTCAAAGATGCTTATTCCATAGCTTGCCTAAACTTACCATCTTCTCCAGAGTAGACAATGGATATAGTACTAAGGGATCCTTCTCCTTCGTTGTTATATACACCCACTTTGACTTCAAAGGGAGAGAGAGGTGTGATGCTTTCATTTCTGTAAATGAACCTTGATGCTTCCACAGAAACGATTCTTTCTTTGGTCCAGGAGGTTGAGCCAACTGGCCGAAACATGATGATATATCCAAATCCCTCACCATTCTGGAGTTCTTCTGGAATTGACTTGGGCAGAATGTGATCAATCACTAAGCATTCACAAAAATATGTCATTGAGATATTATCATTATTTATTTTGTAACGTTAGAAACATGAGAATTTACTTTAAATGATGAAGTAGTGAGAAATTGCTTTTATTAGAATATTGATTTGGAAAATAATCCCAATTAATGGTACACAGATAAATAGTGTAAGCTTTTAGATGGAAAATATAAGTTTTACTATATTTATTTATTTTACATGATTATTTGTAAGTCAAGTTTTTACAAGTTCTGATCTAATAGTGACAATTAAACTTGAAATAGCATAAAATTAATTTACTAGCCATTTATTTGAAACCTATACATTTAGCTTTCACAATGTTTTTCAGAAAGTTCTTATAATATGTGAGTAATTGAATTCTTATGTAATAATACATATATTAATACAGATTTTTTAATAAAAAAGGATAAAGGAACTCCATTACTTTTTACCCATGTATATGTATACCTATATACACACATATATAGTTAAATATTGTTAATATACATTTTTCTGGAATATGGAAAGCTAAGTCTCACAGACACAGAACACTGTAAAGTATATTTGAAATCTAAAGTTATTAAAATGACAAAAGAGAAATATACATTTTCACTAGAACGATGCAGATATTAAGAAATACACATAATCACATAAAATAGGCAAATGAAAATGAAACTTCACTTCAAATTTCGACAAAGATTACATCTAATTATAAGAGATGTGTATTAAAAGTAAATGCAGGGTTGTTTTTTCTGGTTTTGTTTTTAGTTTTTCTGGAAGAAAATAAAATGTCTCTTCTTTTAAAAATATTTTCATAATTCAATAAGAGCAGATATAAGTCCCTCATGCCCATAGCTCCATTTCTGCCATTTCTTTACCCGTAGGCTGCCAATCATTGAATCACTATATCCTTCCCCTTAGACAACACTGATTACCCAACTATGGCACCAGAACCAGTGGCGTTTTAGTCAGTGTCTTTGAGAAGTTCTGATGTCAATTTTCTACAGTGATTAATGAACATAATCAATTCTTCCTTACAGAATTAGACAACTCGATACAGCAATGGAAGCCAAACATTAATACTAAAAAGCAGACAACAAGTAGAAACAGTACAATAGTAGTAACACTGAGGCAGTAGAAGCTAGGGAGAAATGGAAGCTATAAATATAGAGGACCCAAGGAGTTGTGTAGCAAATTGGAAAGCGAGGAATGAGAAGAGCTGAGACCCAGGCATAGGGGACAATCCCCAGTCTGGAGGATCGGAGTGGCTGGCAGTCAGCGAGAACTGGAGAACACTCGGGTTTTCACTTGGTCTGCTGGCTTACTTGCTGAGATTTTGTCCCCCTGCACATTACTTCTTGTGTCACTTTAATAAATCTTCATGAACTGAGATGACCCGAGTAGGTCTATTCCTAACCACGTGAAATAGTTTAAGAAATATAGAAAGTGAAAAGGGGGAAAAAATGCTGGTCTTGAAATCTGGAAAAAATAAACTGTCCCGATGTATTAGTTTCTCGTCTCCTTTCCACGGAGATCAGAACTAAAGTCAATTCAGAATAGGATACAAAAGATTAATTACAACTTAAGCTACTTGATAGGACATTTGTGTTGTTTTTGATGTTTCTTTGGTCTCAGATTTAATCCAGATGGCTAATCAGTTCATCAGCATAAGTAAAAAGATTTGTGCTTCGGGTAGTCGAGTATTATAAATGTGTCTCAAAGTGCTCTCTCACGATACATCTGTGCCCAGTACAATCAATGTACACTGGGGAGCGTCCCCATTATGGATTTAAGGTCCATCCTTGTTTTCTCATAAGGTCATAGATTCAAATGATGGAGAAATATCATACTCAAGCCTTAAATGATCTCTTTACCACAAATTCCTTTTCTGAAATCTAATACATACATGTGATTATGGTATATCTTTTACCTAATTCCAGACTGAGTTAAGATTAAAGGCTTCTTGGCATTCAATTTTTTGGCCCATTTTGAATCTCTATTGCTTTTCATAAAGTTGCCATTGTTTTTAGTTGCCATGGAGTTGGCCCCTGGCTCGTGCAAACCCCTCATACAATGGAATAATAAGCTGCCAGGTCCTGAGCCATCCCCAGGATAAACTGTAGATCAGATATTCGTGCCCCATATATTTTCATTAGTTGGTTTTCAGGGGTCCATAGGCCTTCCCAGTTCATTTTAGTCAGAAGCGCCACTGAAACATATGGAGCACCAGTGCTCTTACCGACAGTGGGATGATTATTATGCATGAGGTGCACTGGCCACTCAGCCACCAACTCCCACTGAAAGAGGACCTGCTCAATAATGTGTATGAAACTGAAAGAGTAAAATGCATTCTGAAGGTCTGAACTACTCTATGCATCTCCTTTTGAATACACATAACATTCCTTAAACAAGTTTGGGCACCTGAAGAATTTGGTTCAGAATAGGCATGTACATAATGCCAAATATGACTGAAAATGGGAAAATAAGAATGATACATTAGAAAGTATAAATATAAATATATATATATTCTTATCCTTTACATAAAAGTTTACTAACTCCTATTTTTGAAATTGAAGGAAATAAAATAATTTCACTTGTGTGTTTTCTCTTCAGATATTATACTAAGATTACTTCAGAAACTAAATTAAAGGATATAATTTCCCTTTTATAATTCATATTTGGCATCATGTACATACCGATTCTGAACCCAAATCTTCTGGTACCCAGTACACA